TATAAAAAGTAAACGCCCCCTCGGGAAATAGACAGGAAAGGGTGGGCTTGCCCCCGGGGGGGGGGGGTGGAATCATCTCACTGTTTCTTGTGTCAGGCAGGGAGACTGAGAATAGTTGCATGCAGACACACATGCACATAGACTCCCCTTTCAAAAGGAGAGCACCCAAAGAAAAGTACTATTACTACTGCTTACAGAACTGTACCTTTGCACCAATTGGACCATTTCATTTGCAAGAAATATAACTCCTATGTTAGTGGAATAATGGGTGGTCTGAACAGGGGACAAGGAGCGAGAACCTTTGCAGTTTATCAGCTTGCTGGGTGAACTCAAGCAATTCAAAACCTTGCAGAGCCTCAGGTCTCTATCTGTGCAACAAGGATAATCCTTTAACCCCATCCTTTTTTTTTTTGTGGCTTGTTCTCCCAGACTGCAGGATCTTCAGGGCAAGAACTGATTTTTACCACATGTATGTACAGATCCCAATTACGGCATTCATGGCATGTGTATACTGCACTGTACAGTGGGGACATGCCAGTAAAGGTGGCTATGTAACTTTTTTAGCATGAGATGCAAGCAGAGCAGGAGTAAGTGGGTGGAGAAGGGTGCTGCTTATCTCCCTCTGAAACCTTGTACATGCCCTGCATGCAAACTTTAACTGCAAGCCCAAGTAATCCTTCAATTACCCCACCAGCAATTAACCAAGTTTCATTCCCTTCTTTCCATTGTTAACAGATGCGTTTAACTAAGTCACACCATTAATACTGCTTGGCTTTCCCCTTCTATAAAGACAGCACTGGGAAGAGTGAAGTGCTCCCTAAACTCATATTTTTAAACAACAATTTATGCTTCCAGTAAAGAATATTAACAGTTCTTTACAGACCGTGAATGAAGACTCCTCTGCTGGTAGCCAAGAATAATCTACTTGCATACAAACACCAATTTTACAACTGTGGTAAACTGAGGTACAGAAAAGCTAACTTGTCCAAAGCCAGGTAACAAGTTAGCAGCAGAAGCAAATATAGAACCTAGGAGTTTTGAATTCTTCACTATAACTGCAAGGCATCACAGGGTAGCCAAACAAGGCAGCTGTAAAACGACTGATGAGACATCCTTTATTAGCAAAGCTTTGAAAAATTACCATGAGGAAATTGGTAATTGCAGTTTGCTAACTTGAAAAACACAGCTTCAACTTGGTTTTGATATTTACTGAAAGCTTCATGTCGCTGTTTACAAAAGGGACTTGTTTTGCTAAGTACATCAAACAGCTTTGCTCTATTAAATCATTTCGGGAGAAGATTAAACGGATTCAGTGCATTTGCATGAAAACTGACAGCCTTATCTCGATTTTAAAGGGGCTTAATTCAGTTAGCTGTTGCTGGTACTTATGACAAAATGTTTATTGGGCCCAGAGCTGGAATCTTAAGATGCATTTATATTTGTTACTGATAAGTGACCGGCACTTTCTAAATAAACTATACTTTATATTTTCACAAAATAAACCTTGTTGATGAGGATAATAGTTAAAGACAGAACAGACCACTTTATCAGATATCATCCACTTGTAAATGAAAGTTCTCCTTCAGCAGGACATGAGTCATTGGGAGATACTTGGTCTTACTCAAGACATTAGGCTGTCATGTTCCAGCTCCTATACCACATTTCTTTCCCCCAAGGCAATCAATCAGATCAGGGTACTTCTCCAAATAGGGTCTTTAGATCTTCAATAATAAAGAATTTTAAGCCATAAGTCCATATCCTACCCTTTACGTTACAAAACACTCTTGGTTATTCAAATTCCTTGGAAACCCCCCATTGAAAAGCAGTTTAAATAACTGAAATTTGTGGAATAAGTCTAAGTCACAAGTTTACTATATGAAGTTCAAGAGTAGACATGCCCCATGTATGAAATAAAACTTAAAAGGAGAAGTTTATTACACAACTGTTTGTTACCAGTAGTTACAACTTGTTGTTTTTTTAAAGGTGCTATAGTATGTACAGTATTGTACACAAGTATTTCCTAATGGAGAATAGATAAAATCAGTATCAAAATGATACAGAACTGTACAGCTGTAGAACTGTAAGGCACCCACTTGCAAAAGTAGTCCATGGCACAGTTTTCACTGTTTGTTCTGTGTAGGATACAAATAATCCTGTCAAAAGTTAATAGTTCTAGTTCTTTAATGTGTAACATTTTACAAGAGATGTCACAGCGGTGCAACGTTCTGGCCTCAAAGCTAAGAACAACCTGAAACGGTGCAATAGCCAGTACTTAAATGATATAAGCACAAGTCTTGAGGCATCAAAGGTCTGCAGTCTTCCATCAATAAACAGTTTGTTAAAGAGATTAAAACAGAACTAGCACAAACAGACAAGCACAACAGGACTACAGTAATACTTTATTCATATCACTTTAAAGTTGTTTAGTGCATAATATAGTGTGAAAGAGAGTATAGGCAACCCCCGCTTAGCACTCTTAATTGGGTCCTGAA